GTATGCTTTAAAATAAATAATGCAGTTAATTTACACTTCAATAATGAAATATTAAAATTTTAGCTCTGGGCCAGACTGAAGGCGTTACAAACCAGGAGAGCCTGTTTGCTGGCCCTGTCACTGCACAGGCTGTACAATGCAGTCCATGTGGGAAGTGGATCAGTTCTGCCACACGTGAATTCTGGATGGCGGTTTCCAATCACACTTCAGCCAGGCCATATGCCACGAAGGGCAACAGGAGTGTGGAGGAGAGTAGCCCTGTTAGTAGTCATGTTTGCATACAGAGGATTGAAGTAGGCCTTCAACATGATAGTCCTAATTAAAAAGGTACTCACTGCAGGCTAGACAAAGGGGCTTTTCCTCTTGTTGGTAACTATTCAGATGATGGACAAGTCTTCTTTGATAGACGCTTACAAAGAAGACCTCTGAAGTACTGTCTATGATACTGGGTTACATATGAATCACTGCAGCTAATTGTAAATCTCTCTATGGAACACTGAAAAGCCTCTTTGTGAATTAATACAGTTCTGCTTGATGCACTTGGTTTGCAAAGACATTTCTCTGTATGTGGTGCATGTCAGCTGTGCTTTGAACAACAACAAAGTTAGCAGAATATATGTTCAATATATTTTCTCGGGAAATAGGGTTTTTATCATATGATTCATTAAGGATTTGCCTTACCCTGACATTTGTGATATAAAGGAAAATCAGGAAAAAAGTAATTTTCTTGAACAAGATACGTTTTTACTTAATGCGAATAAATGTAGTCTGTTGCTTGCAAGGAAAAAAAAAAAAAACCTGTCTTCTGGTATTAATAGGGTAACACGTGCCTCTTCTGTTGAACCAGTCTGGAAATGCTGGCCAGCTTCTGAGTCGGTTTGTCTCTTTTCATCTGTGCCACACACTATGACACTTCAATGACTGTTGCCTTCAAACTATATTTGTTAGAGCAGAGTGCAAATAAACTTCTTTGAGAGGATAATGTGGAACTATGCGTTTTGTGAAATTTGTTCTTTAGCCACAAGCAATTATTCTGGGCTCATTTAATACTATTTGGTTGTAAATAAGCATATTTAAAATTGCCTCTGTAAGTCCTCTCTGACTCAATGATTTTCTTCCCTTACATACCCACAACAATTTTTTCTTTATGCTAGATAAGTCATTAACTTACTAACATAGGCTGCTGCGATAAAGACAATAGGTACATCCTCCTTTACTGAAATTCTCTCAAGTACTCCTGTGATCTTGGTACTGACTGGCTGTGTGAACGTGGCAATCTACTGCTGCCACAATCATGATAGATAAAATTGCAAAAGTAGTTCAAAGTGCAAAACAGGGCCAGCAAAAATCACCATGAAAAAACTCAATGTCTTTTCCAAAGTGAGTATACATAAGCATTCCACCAAATGTAATTCCCTCCATCTCTTTCAGAACAAGTACTACCAGTTGTCCAGGTGTTGTTCTTGTAGGCAATCAACTGAACCCTTTCATAAAATGCCAGAAATGGACTGGCCTAAGGACATCTAGGCTGCCACACTATAGCAGCATATTTCTAGTGGTAAATAAAATTTGAAAAGGAAATCAAAAGCAGGTAGCACAGTCCCCTGTTGTAGCAGGCACCCTCAACACATGGTTCACAGTGACCATGATGATCGTTTGGCTTGATTCAAACCATGCTGGGTACAATGCTTTTTCTATACCCAGCTATTCAAGACAGACTGCCTGTCACTCATGCTTCTCTGCCAATGCTTCTACCAGCATTCAAAGATGAGACTGTGGGGGGAGATTTCTCAGCCAAACTATACCAAGAGGAGACTGCAGAAAGGAATTAATTTAGTTAAATGAATTTGTCTGTTTCAGTGTTGAATGTTCATTTTGAATAAACATTTAGTTATCCAGATTCAAAGTGTAAACTTCCCACAATTGAACTTATTTCATATTATGTGATTATTTTTGTACCTCTTAGATAAAAGTCTTATTCTCTAATTACTATGAAATAAAACTAATGCTTAACTAATAAATATAAATGTTAAAGTTATAATAGCTAAAATTATAATTATGGGATTTTAAAATTATCTTTGCATTATAATATTTTTATAGTTATAAAAATTTGAGAAAGCATTCAAATTAGGATTTTTTTTAAAAATGTATTTATTTATTATGTATACAATGTTATGCCTGCATGTATGCTTGCACTCCAGAAGAGGGCACCAGATCTCATTACATGTGGTTGTGAGCCACCATGTGGTTGCTGGGAATTGAACTCATGACCTCTGGAAGAACAGCCAGTGCTCTTAACCTCTGAGTCATCTCTCCAGCCCCAAATTAGGATTTTTTAAGCAACAGAAAAAATGAGTACTGAATTAGAATGTTCTCTTTTTCTTCTTTGAAATTCCATAAAATGGGTAAGTTTTCAGCACCTATCCTGAATGACTTGAAAAAGTAGGAATAGAAATTTTAAGTACACAAAAAATGAAATTTTATGGATAAGCTACTTAGCCAGTATCAAATTTATTTTTGATTTACCAACAGCAGAACAGGGGAGAAAATACGTATAAAAAAATCAATGCCTGGAAGAAACAGCTACTCAGAGGACCCTTTACCACTGTCTCTTTGTCTATATGCCAATCAATCAAAATAATGAGTGTGAATTGATAAAATCCTATGAGCAACTCAGGCAATAGCTTTGATTTATTTTCATTTTATATTATCTTCAGTATTGTATGAATCATACCCTGTGTCATGGCTGTCCATTTCTTCTTGAGGCGGGTGTATCACAAGCATTTTCTTATCAACCATTTCCCTAAGTCATTTACAAATATTTCATAGTAATGGCTGAAGTTTATTGTACCACTTCCCTGTTGGATACCACTCAGCTTACTTGAATCCTTCTTCCTTTAAATAAAACTACTAACATTCTTTTTTAACCACAGTTTCTGTCTACACCAGGCTACAGTTTCAGGAGAGGCCCCGGGGTTAATGAATATTTGGCACTAATCACCAAATTACGTTACAAAGTCATACTGCTAGCAATTATAAAATGAGAATTTCCGCTTTGTAGGGCCCTCACTGACCTTGAGGGCACTATAAACATGGACACTTAAACATGTCAGCATGAGAAATGGTTTCTCATTACTATTTTAACTATCCTGTCTTCATTTACTAATGAGGGTGGACAGATTTCTGTCAGCTGCTTGTATTTTCTGATTGGGGAATTAATTTGCTCATGTTCTTTGGGCATGTATCACTGGGATTTTGCTTTTCTATTGATATTTATGAGCTAGCTCTTTATATAGAGAGTTTTTATCTTTATTGTCATGTTTCCTGCATAAATTTTTCTACTTGTCTTTCTCTTCATAATTGTGACTGTGATATTTTCTGACACACAGTCCTTTTTATCTCTCTGTGGAAGAAAAATATCTTTCCTTTCGTGTGGGCCTCCATGCCTTTTGTGGCTGACAGCGCCTGCTGAGCTTCATTTCTGTCGCTGCCGAAATCTTTTACCCAAGTAGAAAGAGCCTTGTTTGGCTTTCCTGGTTATAGGTCTTCCAATCCTACACCTGCCAGAAGATGGCAGACTGACAGATAACCCATCCTGGCCAATCCCAAGAATTTACCTACCAGACCTCAATGATTGGTTTAGAGAGATTGGTGACCCAAACTGAACGAATCAGTAATTATTTTTCTAATTGGATATAGTTTTGCTGGGAAAGAGAATTTCACCAGTTCCAATGTGTAGGCAACCATATTGATTTTAATAGCCTTTTCTATTAGTCATGTGACTTAATAAATTCCCCGATCAAGCAACTTTTGAGATAGAATTGTAGTGTTTTCTGGTTTGAACAAATACCATTCATTATTACTCCTGTTCTCCACTCCATTCCCTTCCTTGAGACAGGGTCTCAGGTAACTCAGGGTGGCCTTGAACATTCTTGTAGCTGAGACTGGCCTAGACTGCCTGATTGTCCTGCCTCCATCTTTCAAATGCTGTAACAATACTTGTATGCCACCATGCCCATGTAAAAACAAAACCTTTCATAGTCCTCAAAGCCCCATGGGTGTTCTCCCCTACCCAGAGCTCTGTAAACTTGTCTGCTATTCTTTCCAGTGGCTTCTCTGCACTCATGACACCAGGCTCCTGAGCTATGCAAGCATGTTTCTCTCCTTAAAGCAGTTCACTGGCTTTTCTAGAATATTCTTTCTCTGGCTATTCACATGGCTACTTTGTTCATCACCTTGGAATATTCTCCAAGCTTTCTCAGTGAGAGTTGCCACAAATGCCCTTGTAATGCTACAAACAATTCCTAGGCCTAACCCTATATCCATAAGGCTCCAGTTCTCCCTTTTCCTTAGCACTTAAATGATTTATTCATTAAACTCAGCCCCCCAAAACTTATAAAACTCAACTCCCTTGAGAACAGCCAGGCAAGACCTTTGCTTTAGTCACCAGAGAATCCTAAGTTCCAAGGCTGGACCTGGCACATGTGAAACAGGAATTAAGTGTGTGTTGAAGGAAGGAATTCTGCTCAGGGTTTGTTCTGGGAAGTTGTTCCTTTTTGTAAGGCAGATCAGCTCCTGACTGAAGGTTCTCTCTTTGCGTTGGCCTTGGCTGGAAGGTTGTTAAGGAGAAATGAGTTCTCCTGAGGTGATTAAGTAAGTCAGCAGGGTGCTCTGCATCTTGACCCTGAAGACAGAGCAGAAGAGGGAAGCACAAAATCTGTTTGCAAAACTGGGGTGGCAAGTGAGCTTAGCAGTTAAGACCACTGGCCCTTTCAAAGGGCCCAGGTTCGGTTCCCATCACCGACAAGGTGGCTCACCACCATCCATAATTACTATTTCAGGGAACCCAATACCCTCTTCTTACCTCCATAGTCATGAGGCATACACACAGTACACATACATGGATGTAGGCAAAATACACATAAATTGAATCTTTTTAAAAAATTATTGTGGGAACTGCCTTTCTGGAAAGAAATTATGTTCAGTTTATACTGAATATGAAAAGGGAACAGAAAAGATTTATTCATTGATCCTGCCTCAAATAAGCAAGGACTTCATGTGATGGAACTGTATCATTTTATGTAAAGGTAGTTAATGACAATAATAGGTAGGCACAGCCAGACTACCATGAAAAGGTAATGAAATTTCTACACGTGGCTTCCATTTGTATCACAGCCTCTAAGTTTAGCAGAATTCCTCTTAGCTGTCATCATGGGGTGCTGTCCCTTCAGCATGAAGCTCCAAGGCCACTACGAAGCAACAAGAGAGAAGACATTACTGTGAGTCACACCTAGAAGGAACTATATGTCATCACTTTTGCCCACACATTATTGAGTACAAGTTGGTCAACTGACCCGACTCTAACTCCTGGTATTATAGTTTGGCTGAGTAACTAGCAGGAAATTGACTGTGTCTGATGATGATCTGGCTTGCTGCCTGCTTTGTGCTCTATGCTCTGGTTCAACCCACTGTTTCCCACAAAACCAGGCAAGTCAGCACACTACCTCAGAGAGGAGTGCCACCTGAATATATTAGTTGGTCAAAGCAATCAACACTGGACAGAAGGCTTAAGAGTATGTGGAGGGCCGGGCGGTGGTGGCGCATGCCTTTAATCCCAGCACTCGGGAGGCAGAGCCAGGCGGATCTCTGTGAGTTCGAGGCCAGCCTGGGCTACCAAGTGAGTTCCAGGAAAGGCGCAAAGCTACACAGAGAAACCCTGTCTCGAAAAACAAAAACAAAAACAAAAACAAAAAAAAAAAAAAAAAAAAAAAAGAGTATGTGGAGGAAGCAGGGGTGCTGCTCTGCAGTCCTGGATAGAAAGAAACTCGGGGACAGTGAGCCAGTGACATGGCTCAGCAGGTAAATGCTCTTGCAGTGTGATCCTAATGGCTCAAGTTCAATCACCGGAACACAGGTTAAAAAAAAAAAACAACAAAAAACCGGGAGCCAGCCGGGCAGTGGTGGCGCACGACTTTAATGCCAGCACTCAGGAGGCAGAGACAGGTGGATCTTTGTGAGTTCGAGGCCAGCCTGGGCTACAAAGTGAGTTCCAGGAAAGGCGCAAAGCTACACAGATTCCAAAAGTTTTTCTCTATGTGCACACTGTAGCATGCATCAGCACACACACACACACACACACACACACACACACACACACACACACACACAGCATTTAAATTTAAGCTAAAAGAAAAAAATCTTGAGGATATGGCAGAATAGAATATACCTTTGTCTTGTCTCTGTTCCTGGGTTAATTTCTTGTTTTTATTAAAGTCAACTAGCACAAGAGAGTCGATGGTCTTGATTAGCCCCTAAATGGACACCTTTTGTCTTTGTCTAACTATAAGAACCTGTTCAGGTGCCCACGTGTTTCTCCTTGGTTTTATTTTTTTTCATCTGCTTTAGTCTGTGTTTATACGTGACTCTCCGTTGCTGCCTGTACCTTTAATGCAGCTGAAATTCATTTTGTTATTTGGTAGTTGGGGAGAAGCAACTGGACTTCATTTTCAAAATACTCCCAGGACCAATTATTAAGTGGTGCATCCAGATTCTTTACCCTGAGTTTATACTTGAACGCATGCTCATTTTGCTTTTACACAAGGATCTATTTTCTTGGCTATCTCTCCTACTGCTATTTCCTAATATACTGATTTGGCTACTGTGGTTTAACTAGCTGTGACGATGGCTGGTGAGGCACACTCAGTGCCTGCCTCTTCTTCATGTTCAGGTGTCCCCACATATTATTTATTGTTTCGTGCTCCAGGTATGCCTTAAACACACTTTACCACATTTTTCCACCAAGAAATCACACCCCTTCTTTTCTTTTCTTTTCTTTTCTTTTCTTTTCTTTTCTTTTCTTTTCTTTTCTTTTCTTTTTCTTTTTATTCCAATTCTCCTTCTCTCAGAATCCAGAAAAACTGAGAGAATCAGAGGGTTCACAATGAGTTCTGATACCAAGGAGAGAAGACACTTGTTATACATGCAGCCTTCTGAAATGCTCCATAGAAGAAACATTCCTGTTTATCCCTGGCCTGTGGACAAGACTGAGCTGTGGCCTGAATAACAATTGCTTTTTCAATCTTCTGTCCAAAGCCTCTTCTGACTGTTTGGGCCTCCTTGCCCATCAATCCCCTGTCCGTGCCTTCCAGTTGTGTGTAGTGAGTCAGGAGGCAAACACTCGGTAAATGTCAGTGTGTCTTGAGCGATCATCCTCTCTAAGCAATCGTCCACTTTGCAAGGAATAAAGGACTCAATAGAGCTGGTCACCAGCCTCTTTATCTGCAAAGCACATGACACGGGCATCTAGCATGTGGTTATCAAATGCTTCCCAGAGAAGTGCAAGCTGCTGCGGAAACAGCGTCTTTGGTTTCATTGCGTCTGATACCAGGTATTGGCATCACACAGTTGAGAGGAGATTCATTAGCAGCCTAGTCTAGTAAAGACTGAGGCAACAGCATCCCCTCTAAAAGATCCGGACCAGTAAGAGGCTAGAAAAGTACTAGATTTTTGTTTGGGTAAATGGAAAAGTATAATTAATATGGACAGAGAATCTATAAACATCTAATGTTAAATAGCAATCTTCACTGTTCAAATAATTGTTCGTAAGTTAATTCTATCTTGACAACAATGAGGTAGTTACTGCTTCCCCTCCCCCTTTAAGATGAGCAACTGAAGGTACCAAGGAACTAATTAATTTGTACAAGGCCACACATCAAGTGAGCATCCAGAAGCTATTATCCTAACTGCTTTGGTTGGGGGCTTCTGCACTAGGGTCAGAAACAAAATTGCCCTCAGACACTAGTGAGACCCAGATCCTGGACCTCAATCTAGGCTCTAGGTCTTGTAGCTTCTGGTTTGGGAATCCAGGGAAGAAATGTCAGAACTTTGTGCCTCTAAAAACTTCCAGGTAATGCAGTTGCTGCTGCTGCCCTGGGGGCCAGGCTTTGAGAACAAGTGTGCTGTACTGACATGATTGACAGGTGTGATCCCCTGACAGCGAGGCAGGGTAAAACGTCCTGAGATTCTTTAAGCTATGCAGCTAATTCTCAGTTTCCTAAGCCAGAATACCTGTGCATTTCAATTCCCTAAAGCACCTGTAAGCTGGCACAGCCCACACGGGGCCAGTTTCTCTGTCTGTTGGGTTTACAGGCAGCTATTAAAAAAAAAAAATGAGACAGTATGAACAGTGATGTTGGACCATCAGAAAACAAAGGTTTAAACACACACACACACACACACACACACACACACACACACACACACACACACACACACACGCATAATCCCCTATGAAGAAACGATATTTGATTTCTTTGCTTTTTAGAAACCAGGAAAGGAACGTAGCTTTCTTAGCCTTTTCAACATCTACCAGGGTCACACTGGGTACCCAGACTTTCTTTCCATTTTTTAACTATGACAAGAAAGGCTATGTACTTGGCTGTCTGTTGCTAGCCAACTCCTGCTGGAGAGAGGGATTTACTGGCTGGCTCTTCTCCAGAGCCATATTTCCCCGTGCAGAAGAAATGGATGAATTCTAATAGAAAGATGGAAAAAGCTAGAAAGAGCCAGCAATCTACAAAGAGGGAGCCTGGGCAAGTAAGTAGAGGAGAAGAGAGCGCAGCGTAATTTCCATGTCATAAGTAAAGCTTCCTCTTAACTGATTCTAAGTTGCTCATTGCGTTCTTTTTGGTGCTTCTTTCCTCTGCAAGAATATAGAGTTGTTGCCTATGTTAGCCTTACCCTCCTTCCTGGAGATACAGAAGTTCAGGACACGGGTAGAACCTTCTATCATGTGCTGAAGGGGAAGTAAAGACCAGAAGAAGGGAATCAAGACCAGAGTGAAACTCTGGAGGATTAACAGCCAATTCATCTGAATCCAGCCACCTGAAAATTTCCCACACAGGAAAAAGCAATGTCCTAGAGGTTGTTGGCTCACTCCCAGCCTCGGAGAACTGCCGTTACAGTGAGAGGAGAGTGTGGGTTAAGCCCAAGCCTGGGCATGGAGAGTCTATGGGACTGGGAGTCTACACACAGCAATCTTCCCTTGGTGTTCAGCAAAGGTGGGACATGAGCCAGTTTTAAAAGTGACTCTTTGTTAGTGTGGTATGAGAAAGTTGGGCCAATACCAGTGAATTCTCTAATCTGTGATCTCAATACGAGGAAGAGAAGGGAGAGTTAAGAGCAGCAGTTCTGAAGAAAGCGCTAGAGAAAGAGTTCACGGATGGATCCAGGTGCGGATGGGCCACACTCTGCTGTAGTTACTGCCCCACTTTTCTCATGGCTTCCAGAAGCAATTTACTAAGCATCAAGTCTTGTCCTCTATTACCTCGGGTCAATGTTCTCAATTCTAGCCACATAATAAAATTGTCTAGGGAGCCCTACCCTCCCCAAAACCAAAGGAAGGGAAGTCTATAAATGGCAGGCCTGTCACACTTCCAAGATATCAAGGTCATTAAAGACAAAGAAAAACTGAGAAACTGTCCCAGATTCAAGGAGTATATGAAGACAAAACTGAACTCATTGTAGATCCTGGAAAAGAGTATCCGTGCCGTAACTAGTGTCAATGAATGCCCCTATTGGATCTTGACACTATTGCTATGGAAACAAGAAAAAGGATGAACATTGGGAAAGTTGCGTGAAAGACACAAATTAATTCTTTATGCTTCCTTTTCTTTTCTTTCTCTTTTTCTTTCTCTCTTTCTTTCTTTCTTTCTTCCTTCCTTCCTTCCTTCCTTCCTTCCTTCCTTCCTTCCTTCCTTCCTTCCTTCCTTCTTCTTTCTTTCTTTCTTTCTTTCTTTCTTTCTTTCTTTCTTTCTTTCTTTCTTTCTTTCTTCTTTAAAAACAAAGTCTTTCTAGATAGCCCTAGCTAGCTGGCCTGCAACTTTCTGCTATGTAAACCAACCCTTGAACAAACTCACAGTGATCCTCACCACCACTGCCACCACCACCGCCACCACCTCTGTGGCACATACTTCCACCCTGACCCCCTATTGGGATTAAAGGCATGCAACACCATTTGGGGCTCGTTTTTCCTATTTAAAACAAATTACTGGAAATGGAGAGATGGCTCAGTGGTTAAGAGCACTTACGATTTCAGAGGACCCAGGTTTGATTCCCAGCACCCACATAGCTGCTCACAACTGTCTGTCACTACAGTTCTAGGGGATCCCACACCCTCTTCTGACATCTGCTGACATCCAGTATGCATGTGGTACACAGACATACATGTACCAGGCAAAACATCAATGAGTGCAAAATTAAATTTTAAAAAATTAAATTATTGTACTGTGTTTGCACCATTGTGAAGAGATCAGAGAATAGCTTGCAAGAAAAAGTTCTTTTCTTCCACCATGTGAGTTGGTTCCAAGGCTGGAAACTGGGTCATCAGGCTCCAAAGCACTGAGACATCCCACTGGACCTTGTACATTCTTTGAATGGCTAACATATTTTGAAATAAAATGTTAAAAAAAAAATCCCACCATTTTCCAGATCCATATATCATCATCCTAGATTTAGGAATCTAGTTAATGAGCTTTTTCTCAGCTCCTTAAAAGGTATTGAATCTTCCAGAAGTATGAGTCTCCCTCCTGGAACAAGACAGTAGGTAGATGGGTACCTGTGATTCTAAAATCATCCCTGCCCATTAGGGAAAAGGAAAGGAATCTGATGGCATCTTAAAATTACTTCTGGACACCTCTAGCCTTGGACAAGTGTATGCCCACTCTTAGCTTCCCAGATGTTCCTTTTCAGGCAGTTTTATCTTAATCCCACAGAGTAGAAGGCTTCCTGCCCTGTGAAAATTGGCAAACACTAAATACCAACCTCTCCCAGCAAATACAGCTCTATGGAAATGAAACATAATCTGCTTTTATTAATAAGGAGGTGGCGCATGGCTGAGCATGGACATGCAAGAGACGAACAAAAGGTAGGTAGAAATGTGCCTCTAAGAACAAAGAGGGGAAAAGCAGGGGAGGTTAAACTGACAGAAAGATCACTGAGTGTGGGATTCAATTTCAGTGGTTGCAAAAACAAGGCTCTTGGCTATTTGCATATAAATGTGCTGGGGCGGGGGGGGGGGGGGGGTCACAGTTCTCAGCTGTGCGTTTTAACTTTCTCCTTAAAATCTGTTTCCCAAAGCAGCTGCAGGAATCAGCTGCAAATTCCAAATCTAAAAATGAAAGTCACGTGGCTGAATTGGGAAGGAGACAAGAGGAAGGCTCTAAGGATGTTCCAGTTAACCCGTTGGGGCCTGCAGCCCATCTGGGCTGCCTGCAAGCTTTTAAAGATCCCAGTACCCATGTGCACTGGAGAACAATTAAATCAGGATTGCTGTCAGCTAGGGGCCAGAGGAGAGAGGTATCCCATGCCTATGAATTTCCCAGACAATTAGAATCTATAGTCTTAATTGGCTAGCAATCAGGGTAGGTCTGCAATTTTTTTTTAAAAGGCAAGCCAGGTAAATATTTCAAGTTTGAGAGGCTAGTCTCTGTGGCAACTACTCAGCCATGCCATGAGGTGGCCATAGACAGTACTAGAGCCGTGACTGGGTACAGTCAACTCATTTATAAAACAAGCTGGTAGACCCTGCCCAAGACCTTGTTCATTCAGTATTATCTTTGGTGCAGATGCATGGGAACAGGATGCTTGTCAGACATGAGCACTCGGCAACTCTAGCACACAACCCTCCAAAGAATCACCATCTGGCTTGTCTTGATTCCTTTCAAGAAGCTTGCAAGACGACTGTAGCAAGCACACTGATGGAGAAGGAGGAGGCACAAGGCAGGGACACTGAGATCGAATCAGATCTGGGAATCAAGAGAATGAGTGCCGACATGGGAAGGGCCAACTCTTTTGTTCATAAAAGTACCCTTAGCATTCAGAAATATCCAGTTATTTTAAGGACCTTTTGCCCATACAAGGAATTTGAGAAGTAGTGCATGGATGTGAAGTGTCAATGGGGACAGTCATGGCCCATAGCCTTGCACCAAGAGGGAGTTGACCCCTGAGCATGTACTGTAATATCCTCAGTCAGCATGAGGTTGGGAAAGGCTGGCTGGCACAGGCTCTCATTTTAGAGGCCAAGACATTTGCACCTCATCTCTGTCAGGCCTGCAGTCTCAGCTGCGTGGCGGCAGAGGCCGGGGACAATTACCATGAGTCTAAAAAAGTCAGGCTTGAACCTGGTTTCCTGACCCTGACATTGCACTGTTACATCGAATCCTACCCCGGGCAGGGTGGTTCCTCTGCGGTACAGCTGCATCCACAATGCCTGGCGCAGCTTCAGCGTTCAAAGCTGTCAGTGGGTAAACGGGCATAGAACACAAGATGCCAGTTTATGGGGATGTCAGCCTTTAGTTTACCCGTGTCCATAATTGGCTAGTGGCCTTCCTCATTAGCATGCACAAGGGCTGTGTGGGTTTTATTTCAAAGGATCCCTCCCTGCTTCCCTTGCTGTACAGAATTCTGGCAAATGACAGCACAAGCTATTTCTCCATCCGTTGCCTGAAGCAGATGGCCTAAGGGCCTATATCCTGGCCTGTAAGGGTTAATGGGACCTAGGAAGGAGTGGCCAGTACATTCTGTTTTCCCTTAAGCAGTGTCACTGAACTGGAAGGTAACAACGAACTGAGTGGTTCTTCCCTGGTGCCAGTCTGCCCATCAGCTGGGACCAGCCTATTGTCAGATGCTGTTTTTCATGCCCTAGAAAAAGATTCTCCCAAAAAAGCCTGCCAGTGATTAGCGTGTGCGAAGTGAGTACACATCGCTCCATAAACCCTTGCACCTGCCTCTGAGGTGTCTCTGTGGAACACAGTTTTGACACATTGTGTGAAGTGGAGCTAGAGAGGAGGCACAAGGGATGTCACACAGCAATTGAGAATTGGGATGGAGCCCTGAGCATCCGTAGCCAGAGAAAGCAGTGTGGCCCCGAGAACCATTTTCTCAAATTCACAGTGCAGATGGCTAACTCAGGCATCATATTAGAATCCAGGCTCCAAGGCTGCGCTCCTATTATTCTGCACTCCTGACAGGCGGCATGTGAACACTGAGTACCTTGACCACACAGGAGAGAACAGAAAGCTTCAGGCCAAGAAAGTCGAGCTCTTTTCTTCTCTGGGCTTTTCATATTTAAAAAAAAAAAAGTCACACTAGTGATCTAGTTGTCAAAGGTGACCTCCTCTCCACGTGTTGATCTCACAGTATGACTTGTACATGCCTCCCACTGAGACAAAGAGGTGGAAGTGTGTTCCTTCCTTCTAAAACAGGCTGGGCTTGCAAACACCTAGAGAGTGATTCTGTGACTTCTTAAGGTAGGTCATAGAGATGATACATTTTCACCACGGTTCTCTTGAGACCCAGGCATCACCCTGTGAGGAAGCCCAGGCATCCTGGGAAAGCACCAGAGAAGCAGGGCCACATTGGGCTCTGGCTGACAGCTAGTACCATTTGCCAGGCACATAAGTGATTTGTATTTATCAGAACCTCTTCAAATCCATCTTGGCAGTGGAGCCTCTCCCTCTGTGCAGCTCACCCTGTCTGGAAAGGTGTAGAATAGACATGGGCAATGCTTGTGTCCTTTGCCCAAGACAGATTGATGACTGAATCAGGGACCACTGTTCCTGTAAACAGTTTGAGGATAGTTTTCCTTATAATAACAGGATATGAGATGTGATGTAAATCACTCAACTGTTTTGTTTCACTCAGATTACCCTCTCCTCACAGTTTGAGCACTCTCATTCCTTATGTGTGGACCACATCGCCCAAGCTGCATCACTGTACATCTAATTTCTTACCAAAGAACCCCATTATATTTGAGTCTTTCTCAGCACCTCGCTCATCTTCCTCACCCTACCTCAAACACCTGGTCTATGTTTATTTGGTACAGTCATCAGTTTAGGTGATGAAAACAACATAGCGTGGCTGCAGCTCCCAACCTGTTGGTGCTATTGGCAGACTGACACTTCTGTTCTCCATCCCCCCCACTAAATCCCCCCACCCACCATCACCCCACTGCTGAGGTTTATGTCCTTAGTGTCACCACCCTGTCAGATTCTAGTTATTTCTGGATACATCCAGCTATTTCTTAAATACATTGTCTCTGTCCTCTAGGCTAATACCATATAGAACTTGGACCTACTCTTCACTGTCTCCCTATTGCTTTGACAAGGCCAAAGAAGAGCACGGAATGCCCTTCTTGTCTTAGTGGCTCCTCCCCTGCACTCCGGCTAATGATCAAACCTTGTATCCTGTAGTAACCGCCTTGTTCTGTTTGTGCTTTAATAATGTTAAAGTCTTTGGAATACTCTTTCCTTTCATCTCTGGAACTCTCTGTGGTCTTTCTAGCCAGGACTGTTTCTTTCACTCACCCTTCCTGGGCCCACACCCTCTCCTGCTAATGGTTCCACGGCTGAGCTTCCACATTTTAATGTCAGTCATCCACATACCTGACTGTCTTTGATGCTACAGCAGTAGTTCTCAGCATGCTTCACAAAGTCAACAGCATCACCAGTGCCTGGAGCTTTGTTAAAAAAAAAAAATGAAGATTCTCAGGCCTTACTTCAGACTCACTGAATTAGAAACTCAGGAATTGGGGTCTAGCATGATGTAATATGCCCTCTGGGGGCATTTAGTGCATTGAAGTATTGAAACTACAACTTTGGAACAGTTAGTCAAACATTAGTATCACCAATTTTTCTTTTTTGTGTGTGCAAGCATGTATGTACATACATATATGTGCATATGTGTTTGAAAGCCAGAAGTTGACATGACACATTGAATCAGAAGCTACAGCTTATCAAGATCTGAATGAAGTTTGTGAAGAATTATTTTTTGATGTTTGGGCATCAAACTGGGGGGGGGGGTTGTTTGTTTGTTGTTTGACACAGCATCTTTCTCTCTAACCCTGGCTGTCCTGGAACTTACAGAGATCTGTCTGACTCTGCCTCCTGAAAGTGGGGATAAAAAGCATGCACCACCACACCTGGGGTTTTGAGCATGTCAGGCCAGCACTCTACTACTGACCTATATCCCTAACTGCAGCAGAATTATCTTGTACATCTCTGTATCATAATCCCTAGCAAAAAGCTCAGTAGAACATTAAATAGCCACTTGATCGAGTCTACAAAAATATTAGCAAAAATGTGTTTTCTGCTTCTTGTGAATAATGGAATGAAAATTTGTAATAAAGTGCTTTGTAAACAGCTTTATCAATGTGTGCTATAATAGTAAGTGATATATAAAAAACTCGTTCATTAGGTCATTCATTCCAAATTGTTCAAAAAGTGCCTATTACTTAGCAAGTATAATTTTATACACAAAAGCAATTATGGTGAGCAAGAGAGACCCAGCCGGCCCAGTGGAGTCGGAGAGACAGCAGCTATGCACAGTTGCACAGCTAGTCAAAATAGACTGTGGTAAGTGCAGCACGGGGGAAGTAACAGTGTGAAAATGCAACATTCATTTTCCTGTGTCTCTCCAAGACCCTTCCACGGTGAGGTGTGAACATCCTAAAAAAACTCAGTGATTAGACACAAGGGACCAGAAGGAATCTGACACAAGACTCTGACATCATTTAGGATACACTCAAGCATCATCGTCTCAGGCAAGGACTCGGGTGAAGATGGCTTATATTTAAGGAAAAACGCGAAATGGAGTGAGCGAGAGAAGAAAGCTGAGCAAAAAGATGGTGTTAATACTCAAGGAGAGGCTAAGGCACAAAACCAGACTCTGGGAAAATGGAGGATACACTTGTCATCTATGGGAAGTCGTGAAGGACAAACCTTTATCCAATGACTTCAGCTCCTCTACCAGCATTATTGCCACCATTTTCTCCCAGGTTATACCTTTGAGAAGCTAAGCTAGGTTTTGGGAACTGTGGCTATCATCTACTGCAGCTCAGTCATAAGCAGTATCAACAAATGTCACCTGGAAACTGTTTGAATGCAAATTTTCAGGGGTCATCTGACACCTACTGCCAGAGTGTCTAAGGGTGGGGCCAATGATCATTTTAAGGAAACTTCCCAAGGAACCTTAAACCCTCTCTAGGGTGGAAACTCTCATAATTAGAAACCAAATAAGAGGAGAAGGGATGCTGGACCAGGGAAGCTGACACTATCCGAGCTGTATCTACTACAACTTTGGGTGAATTCAGATCAGTCATGGGGCCCAATAATAAAATGGAAACTTACGGTAAAGTGCTTTGGCCACTGCTTTATAAAGAGGATGTATAATTTAAACTGGTGTTTAAAAATATGGTTCACCATGGGTTTCTGATGAGCAGCACTTTAAGAACTCAAACTGGGCTTATTGGTCACATGGGGAAAAAGTAAAAAAGATGAGGAAGGATAAAAAGTGGAGTACCTGAGGTGTGCTGAGCTCTGAATGTTTGTACCTCATTCAAATTCTTTGTTGGGGGGCTGGAAAGATAACTCGGACTTAAGAGTACTTGTTGCTCTTCCAGAGGACTGGAGCTCAATTCCCAGCACCAATTCCCATCTCACAACTGTCCCCATTTTCTGGATATCCAATGCCTCTGGCACCTGTACACACATGCACATAACTACACACATACACATGAACACATACACATTTACACATAACTAGAAATAATCTTAAAACAACAACAATAACCACAACCAAATTCTTATGTTGAAGTCGTATCCCTTGAGATCCTTGTTCATAACCCTCACCGTTCATGGGACAGATGGTTCTTGTATATTTAGGGTTGGATAAGAACCCATCACAAGTGAGGCTATTGTAAGTCTTTCCTAGGGAGAAGACCCAAGTTAGCTAACTTAAAGTGTCCTGTGCCAGCTATTGCCATGGAGAATGAAACAAGAAAACAAAGGAAGGCTCCATTTAAAAAAGAAAGACAGAGTCAACCCTAGAAATATGCAAGATAGGGATACAAAAGCAACTTAAAAGGGTAAAAGCCCACAGCAACTAGCACTCAGACCTTCCATGGCTCGCGCAATAGGCAGGGAGAATGCCAGACAAAAGGAGTGTCAGTGATCCCTATGACAGCAGCAGAAGGGTGGTCCTAACAACAGGTCTGCCTTCCATTGAACTAACCATGTGGTCAGCATGTTACAGCCCCCAACCTAACCTACATGTAGCTCATGGACCTAGGAAAGGTTTCTTCTGCAGCCCATGTCCTTGGGACCACAGCAGTTGTTGTCATCTTTTTTTTTTTTTAATTTATTTTGCAATACAATTCAATTCTACATATCAGCCACGGATTCCCTTGTTCTCCCCCCTCCCGTCCCCCTCACCTTCTCCCCAACCCCCCCCCATTCCCATCTCCTCCAGGGCAAAGCCTTCCCCACAGACTGAGGTCAACCTGGTAGACTCAGTCCAGGTAGGTCTAGTCCCCTCCTCCCAGGCCGAGCCAAACAATCCTGCATAGGCCCCAGGTTTCAAACAGCCAACTCATGCAATGAGCACAGGACCTGGTCCCACTGCCTGGATGCCTCCCAAACAGATCAAGCCAATCAACTGTCTCACCCATTCGGAGGGCCTGATCCAGTGGGGACCCCAGTTGTTGTCATCTTTGACCAGCACCTCCTATCTCCTATGGATAGTCTGTTCCACATCCCATAGCATCAGAATCATGATACTGTCACCACAAGTATGTCACTATCAGAGCCAAACTGTGGGGTCTGAATCACAAACCTTTGGAACCCCTGTCCATTGTACATTCACACACTGCCTTCATGGACTTCTACACAGTGTAGGCTATAAAGGCATTCGTAGGCTGCCAATTATTATAGTAGAATATTTGCATAGTGATTACAGTTGTGAACTCACCTATACTTGAAGCCAGACTATCCAACTGACATCCCACACCCCATTGAATTAAAAAATGCTTTTCTATGAAAATTGTTCCAAAAAATAGGAAGAGGTGACTGTTATATTAGATGTGCAGGCATCACTATAGAGAAAAAATAAATTATAGTACCTCTAATGACAGAATAATTGTCCATAAAGAGTTCAAAGGATGAGGGGATTCTACAAAATGCTTGAATAAAATGAATGATCCTAAAGAAACTCCATTAGATGTTAAGAACACAGATAGATTGCAAAGTGAAATAAAAAAACATTTATGGTAGAAATGAGAAATCACACAAAAGAATCAATTGAAATTCTGGGGTTAAAATTCTTAGTCAATGGATAAAATTCAGTTCAGAGTATGGAATATAGTCTACACCAAGCAGAAGATAGAATTTCTGAACCCAGGAATAGCTTTTCTGAGATAAACTAGAGGAGGAGGAGGAAGAGGAGAAAGAGGAGGAGGAGGAGGAGGAGGAGGAGGAGGAGGAGGAGAAGAAGAAGAAGAAGAAGAAGAAGAAGAAGAAGAAGAAGAAGAAGAAGAAGAAGAAGAAGAAGAAGAAGACAATGATGACAATGAGGAGAAAGAATGTAGCCAAGCATGTAGTCCAATGATGGAGTGCTTGTCTCATGCATACCTTGATCCAAGTGTTGTCCCCAGAACCACAGGAAGAGTTTATGAGACACAGTTAAGTAAACAGATAAACTCATCATGGAAATTCCAGGAGGAAAGTAAAAGAAGCACTGAACCCCGATTTAAAGACTGTAACTGGAGATTTATCAGCTCTTCAAAGAGATGTTGAGAGAGACAGCAGAAGCTCAAGCAACTGCCAGCTCGACTCAACTGAAACAGACCTACACTGAGAGAATGTCACAGGACTAAGACAAAGGGAGAATTATAAAAAGAAAAAGAAATTGAAAACACAACCTAAGAAAATTTGGATCTGCTGCCAAAGCACTACTGAGCATAAAATTTATAGCAATAGTGCCTCCGTGGACATTAGGAAGAATTTTTTTTAATAAATAATTTAGGGATGCACCCCAAAGCCTTAAAACAGTGAGGCCAAACAAAACAATAGATTAGTAGGAAAAAAGAAAGCTGATACCAGTGCCAAGAGAAATAAAAAAAGACTTTAAAATGCAAAATATTCAATGAAACAGCTAGTTCTTTGACAAGAAAAAAACAAGTTGAAATACCTTTATCTGAATTAACCAACAGAAAAAGAGATTACCCAAGAAAACAACAATTGGAGGTTAAAAAGGAAGCATTAGGATGGATACCAAGCATCATTATGGATCATTATGATTACGTGCTAACAAGTTTGGAAACCTGGAGAAAATAGATATATATGCCCTACCGAAACTGAACCAAGAGAACAACACATGTGAACAGACAATAGGATTGGATTCATGATAAAAAGTTTTGCAACAAAGAAAAGCCCAGGACCAAATAGCTTCACTGTGGAGCTTTGCCAAACTTCTTTTGAAGACCTAATGCCAATCCTTCTTAAACTATTCTACAGAATTGAAAGTGGGAGCCTGTCCAGAATCATTCTATGAGGCCAGCATAACCCTGATTCTAAAACCAAGCAAGGACATAAAAACAGAGAAAGGAGGGGCTAGAGATGAACGAGGGAGAGACAGAGGGAAAGGAGGGAGACAGGCTATAGATCAATATCCCAGATAAACACAGATGCAAAAATTCTCAACACAATACTAACAATCCAATTCAATAGCACATCAAAAAGCAATTCAGCATGATTAAGTTGGTTTCAGTCCAGGACAGTTCAACATATGCAAGTCAATATAACAAAGGATAAAATCCTAAGATCATTTCTGTAGATACAGAAAAGCATTTGATAAAATTCAATATCATCATATGATAGAAACCCTGAACAGTTTAAGAATAAAGATGCTATATTTTATATGCACATAATAAAGATGAGGTGAGGAAATGCACAGTCACTGTCACAATGAATGGAATCCAAATCAGAGGCAATGCAAGGATACCATCCCGCCTCTCTTATTCAATATGATATGAAAAGGTTTTGTCAAGCAATGGGACAAGAGAAGAGATGTGAGACATACAAATAGGGACAAGTCAATTTTCCTTGTTTGCAGATGTGATTATATATATACTGAAAGACACCATCAATGACTATTAGAATAGATAAATGAATTTAGTCATCCAGAAGAAAATAAAAAGAAAAATCAGTAGGTTTTGTACACACATTAACCGCATTTTCGGAGAAGGAAATAATGAAATCAACCCTATTCATAATAGCAGAAGCAGCAACAGAAATATCTAGGAATAGGCA